GGTGGCAAGTTGAATAATTTTAGAAATGTCACATTAGTCACTAAGCTTATAATTAAGAGGGTGTCAAAAATGCAATGTGTTGGCCTGTAAAAGACAAGCTGGTTGATATCTTAGCAATAATAGTTATATCATGTATCAAGTAAACATGTCAACATAGGATTGTTATAAAGAATAAATGAGGGAATGCAGATAGAGTTTATAGCACAAGGCTTTTTTTTTTAGCTGGGTTTCCTTTACCTCTCAGAAAACATTAACATCAGTTTAAAGCTAGGTTTGTGGGCCGGCCCCGTGGCTTAGCGTTTAAGTGCACGCGCTCCGCCGCTGGCGGCCCGGGTTCGATCCCCGGCGCACACCGACGCACCGCTTCCCCGGCCATGCTGAGGCCGCGTCCCACATATAGCAACTAGAAGGATGTGCAGCTGTGGCATACTATCTACTGGGGCTTTGAGGGAAAAAAATTAAAGCTAGGTTTTATGCTGTCATCACAGGTATTAGTGTATGTGACTGCATGGTTATAGTAAAAACAAAATTCAGAGTATGTTTTACATCAGTAATGTCACGCATCAGTGCTGTTCTTAAGCTAAGAAATAATTGTTTTTCACTGTAAAGGAGCACAAATTGATGACTTTGCTAACAGTTTATGACTGCTGAGTTAAAGCAAGGCTAACATTTACTGAGCTCATACTGTGCACTAGGAGTGTGCTGAGAATTTCCCGTGTATTATTTGACCTAAACCTTAAAACAGTACTATGAGGTAGGTACTATTATCTCTTTTTTACAGATGGGACAGCTGAAGCCCACAGGGTAACTTGCAGAGATCCAAAGCTGTTAGGTGCTTGAGCCAGGATGAAAACACACTCCAGAGCTCATGCACCTAACCACACAGTACTCTACTTAGGAAAGGTATTGGTTGAGGGCGAAAGTGAAGGTAGCTGGCTGCAGATCAGATAACCAAGGATCAAGTGGGGAAAGGTACCGGGAGAGACAATAATCTTGCCTAAGGCTACATTTCCAAGCCGGGAGCAGTTATCATGGAGACAGGAGTCTGAGCCACAGAAATCAGTAAATATGGAGAGTAGAAGGGTTTTCTAAGGAAAGACTAGGACCTGATGTTTGCTTGAGGGGTGACTCTGGAGAATTTGAAAATGGCAAAACAAGAGTTTGTGAGTGTGAAGGGGTAAGATTGTGAGAAACAAAATAACCCTGAAAGACTCTTGGTGAAAGAGTCCTCAGTAAGTAGACTGTAAAACTCGTGAGGTTTGGGGTGGATGTTCCTCTACTGTTTTCATTGTCTATCTCTGCCCTTGACATTTCATCAGACGTTCCCTTCTTCCTCTGGAAGCTGGCATCTGGTTTTTTTAAAAATATGACTGAGCATTCAACTCCTGGGCGCTTGGTTACACTACTTAGGTTTGTATAGTCTGAAAGAGCTGCTTCTTGGTCTATAGGAATTGTCCACCCTCAAAAATACTCTTTCTGTGAATTATCTTTTTCTGCATATGCACGCTTAATACATATTTTTAAGTGTAGGTACCATGATCTACCTCAAAGATACAGCATACATTATTAATACTCTCAAATAGGTAATAAGAGCTCATTCTTTACAGTGTGTGTTGTTTATACTTAAATCTGACTAAGAATATTTTTTTACTTTCATGAGAAGTATTATTATATTTGCCATATTGTCACAAGCCTATCTTTCCCCCCATAGCGTTAAACCCTGAAGCAATTGTTAAGAATTATAGAGTACTTTCCAAATTCAAATTTACATAATTTAATCATCAGCTTGATAGAACTATAACTTATTTTAGCTAACATGTTCTTTATCTCTTTCCCACCCACCACTGTTTCATTATGTTTTCTGATTTTCTCAGTCCTGAGAAACGGATCTTGCATTATGTGAAATTGATGCAAATGCCTAATAGAGTTTGTGTAAAAACATCAAAGGATTTTTAAAATTTCTATTTTGTTTTGAATGCATGTATCATCAAACTATGTTTGATCTGCTTTACAGAGCAAAGAATCAGAACTATAAAGAAAAGAGCTAGATCAAAGATTATGAAAATTTAGAATATAGAGGACTTCATCCAGGAAACTGGTTATAAAATTTTAGCTAATTTTATAAGAATTTTAAAAAGATTTTTTTTTTTTTAAAGATTTTATTTATTTTATTTTTCCCCCCAAAGCCCCAGTGGATAGTTGTATGTCGTAGCTGCACATCCTTCTAGTTGCTGTATGCGGGACTCGGCCTCAGGATGAACGGAGAAGTGGTGCTTCGATGCGCACCCGGGATCCGAACCCGGGCCACCAGCATCGCAGCGCACGCACTTAACCACCAAGCCACAGGGCCGGCCCAAAAAAGATTTTTTTTTAATAATTTTTTTTTATTTATTTACTTTCCCCCCAAAGCCCCAGTAGATAGTTGTATGTCATAGTTGTACATCCTTCTAGTTGCTGTCTGTGGGACGTGGCCTCAGCATGGCCGGAGAAGCGGTGCGTCGGTGCGCGCCCGGGATCCAAACCCGGGCCGCCAGCAGCAGAGCGCGTGCACTCAACCGCTAAGCCATGGGGCCGGCCCTAAAAAGATATTTTCTAAAGGCATGTGAAAAATTGTGTTGTGGAAGTCTTATTTTAAATTATTACTTTTTCTGAGAATTCTATATTTTGTCATTGAAAACAAAGACAACTTTTTAGAAGTGGACCTGTGGACCTCCATATAGTGATGGGTCTGGGACGCAGAACTTTATTAAAGAATGTTATCTCTGCCACGTGTGCTTTGCCCCTTCTCTGATGGAAAGGAAATGGATCAGGTACCCCTTATATGTCCAGGAGAAGCCTTTGGCCTCTCCACTGCATGAATCTGGTTTGGAGCTGTGTATACTATATGAAACCATGTTTGAAATAAAGGTTTCTAATGAACCTTTTCCTGCATGGAATGCCAATTAACTGCCTGCTTTTAATTGATAATTGGCATTAACTCCTCAAAACTGCCATCGTCATAAACCACAGTCCGGGCCTTTTTGTCCACCATTGAAGGATTAGACAATTACGCAGTATTTGACCAGACTCTGAACATGTCTAATTTCGGAAAGAATAGCCCCCACACATACCTTAAGGGAGAAGGACCAGACCTTTGGCAATGTTATGACTGCTGAAAGAACATAATCACCTTCTCAGCTTACTCTCAGAATGTGTTCCCAACAGAGAAAGAGATATACTTGGTAGAAACAGAAAAATAGAATAAAATAGGATTCTTCTGCTGGCAGAGTGTATGTATTTATACATTCCTCTGTGTTTAGCTCAGTGGTTAGAGAACATTTCTGGAAAGACTGCAGGACACAAATGCTTTCTATTTGAGCTTGTGCATTTCATGTCATTGGTCCCTTGGACAAGGTTCACTGCCCTGGAGGTGGCTTGGCTCAGTCTTTAAAACATACACTAATGAATTTCAGGTTCGGGACAGAAAACGGCTGCTCCATATCGGACAGTCATGTGAACTTGGAATAGTTTCCCATGAGTGTCTTAAAAAGCTCTGTAATATCATTCTGGATAGTGGGTTCTTCTGCGTCTCCAAAGACAGATAACTGATTGCCATTGCTCCAGGTACTCAATGCTGGCCTACTCTTAAAACTGAGATTTGGCAGATTCCTTTATTTTTGTAAAGGGAACATTGTGGGAGAAAATAGGGCAAAGATCATCTGAGTGCAACTGGGTGTATTGAAGGACACTTAAAAATAACCTTAAAACAACTGAAAAGATTGGTTTGGGCTGAGTGTGTTTGTTTTGTTTTTCCTCTCAGCTGTTTGAAGAGAAAAAATTTTTTTAAAAGTCATATTTCATATCTTTTTATGTTGATACATCTTGCAATAGTTTAGGGGTTTTATCTCATCTGATCCAGCCCACTCGAAAAGTCAAGAAAGTGGGGTAGTCAAATATGGAAACTTGTTTTATGTAGGTGGGAAAGAAGTAAGCTAATGGAGTCCCAGACACTCCTTATCAGAACAACAGAGCCAGAGTCCTATGTGACCCCCACCCCAGCCTGCACACCTCTGGCTGACAAAGACTTGACTCTGACTAGCTCAGAAGACAGATGCAGGTACTCAGCTTTGCAGACGTCTTGCCTGTATGCTCAGAGTGAGTCACAATTGGTGTTGAGCTGGTAGGAAAAAAAAATGTTGATTTCCTGAATTTCTTTATCTGTGAAAGATTGACCATGGACTGTGATTTCCTTGTGAGGCTGTGCACAGGCTGTGCAAGCCTCTTGTCTGGGTCTCAGTTTCCTCCTTCCAGATTTAAGCAGGGTGGGCCGGATGATCTCCAAAGGCCCTTTCTGGCTTTCACAGTCTGAAGTTCAGTTTCTTCTGCACATAGGAGGTGGGTGTATCAATTGCAGTGGTCGGCTAGAGATTATTTGGGTTCTCCAGCTGATAAAGTCTTCCAGCAGATGAATCTGAATGAACAGCAACACTCAAGTCCTGCAGAAAGTTTATGTTGAGCTTGCTGGAATGACCACTGGAAATCCTGGGTGATGAAGCACTTCTGAGTGCTAGGCAGAGGTTATCAGATGACAGTGCCCCATCGGTGCTGGATGCTTATTGGGGCTCATGGAGAGGCAGCATGAGGTGGTCCAGCATACAGCCTGGCACCGGAAAACCTTGGGTTCCTCCACACTCCTGCCCATCCCTGCCAACCCAAATGCCCTAGCCTTATACTTTGGCGAGTTACCTCACAGTTCTAAAACTCTGTTTGGTTATTTTTTAAATGAAGATAATATCTACTTTTCAGGATAAAAAGCTTGAACATAATGTATTTGAAAGTGTCTAGCAAATAGGTGAAGCTTGATAAATAGGTAACTAAAACCAGCAATTTGTAAAAAACCCAAATACGATAATCTTACCTGAAAGTCAAGGGAGGGAGAAACTAACATTTGTGTAGTAACATTTCACAAGAGTACTTTAGGACGTATTACCTTTTAATCCTTACAACCTCATTTTACAGATGCAGAGACCCTGCAAGTTCGCAGAGTCACGACACCTGAAATCAGTGGAGTGGAGATTTAATTTTCCAAACTGTTGTGTTCCTTTGACAATATGCTACCAATACCATTACACTTGGTTGATATATTTTATAGTTAAGGTTTAACATCTAGATGATTCTGGAAAAGGAAATAAATGATCAGAAGTGGTAATAGTACCTATTTGGGGGATTTCTCCTTATGCCCTTTTTATATGACTACAGCTATACTAACTGCCATTTAAGACAAATCCAGGAAACCCTGGCCAGTTGCTCCTCACTTTGTAGGATCTTAATTCCGAAACAGCTCCTGGGGATAGCTGGAAGATTTGAATATTTCTGGGATGTCACTGTCCAGTTTCGAAATAATTTTATAAATGGGTTTCTTCCAGGAAGGATCTGAGTCTTTCCCTGTGGAGACAGCCCTGAAGAACTCCTGTAACGTCAAGCTGGCGATTTCCAAGAAGCAATCTGGGACCTGCATTCCCAAAGAGACCCACCAGAAAGAAAAGACGTGAGGCTGTGAAACACTGGCGCAATACAGACCTTACTGCTTGATGCTGCCTGTTCCTTGCGTGGTGGGCTGATAAGAGCGTCCATGCTCTACTGGACCCTGAATTTTGCAGCTCTAGGAATCCCCTGCTGCCTCATCAAATACAAACCTTAAAATGATGGTACCAATGAGACAGCCCTGGGAGAAAGCATATTAGGGATACTCCGTTTGTAGGAGGAACTGATTCCACTAATGGGTGATGTTCAAGTGGGAAACTCAGACTCTGATTGATATTAAATCTGTGGTTCAAAAGAGGTTTTTAGTATTCTTTTCCTTGGTGCCTAATGTGGAAAGGAGTGCCCCCAAGTTTATGACTGTGGTACCTCATCCCATCATCTTTTGGGGCTGGATCCAAAGGACTTGGAATCATTCCTGCTTCCAAAGTGAACCATGAGGTTGACGGGGGCTCAAGAATATGTTCCGGGACCTCACCCAGACTGGCACCATAAATGGTGGGGAGTCCCTCAGGTCCTCCAGACCCAGCCTGGCCCGAGGCTTGCCACCACTGCATGCCAAATGACCACCCACACGTGGAAAAATGTGACAGCACTGCCCCTCCCACATGCCCTGACCCCACGAGCCTCAGAAAGAGGCTTAGGTTTCCAAATATATTCTGACAGAATATCTGACTAGTGGATGCCTTCAGTTCTTCCCTTTCTTAGAGGTATCAATAAACTGCTCTTTGTGATCATGGTCAAGTGAGAAAGGCAAGAAGAAGGAAGTGTAGTTGGTGACCAGATGCACCTGGCACCTGCAGAACAAGATGACAGCCTACCAGAGCTGTCAGCCACACACAAGGAAACCTGTCTGGATTAGGAGTTCTCGCCAGTGACACTTAACACCACTTGCTCACCCTTTACTGACACTTAACCTCCAAGGTGCCACCAGTGTGCCTTCATAGAGATCCCCAAAGGACTGAGAAGCTTGAGTACTGTTTATTCATTATTTCCAGAAAGGATTTGAGGTGACTTGCCATGAAGGGCCCACAAATAAAACTGTTCAAGTGAGAATAAAGATAAGACCCAAGTGAGGAAAAGAACAGAAATTGTTGTAGAGAAAACCTAGGCCAAGACTAGGTGCTGCAACCGAGCCCAGCATTTAGTCCTGGGCCTCCTGGCGCTGAGGCAAAAAGGTCAACAAGTTATGTAACTTGGTAATTACAGAATATTAAGTCTAAAAGGGCATTACAGCTAGCGGACCTCTGCTTAAGTTTCAGAATGAAGACTGGCTGTATATTCTGTTTGCAGCATCGACCTGTTGCCTAAGAGAAGATATTGAGGCTGTAATCTTTGTGGATGATACAGAGCTTGGCCCTAGGCTGGCCTGGCTCTCAGTGACTTAAGGACAGACGCAGAGGAGGATCTTTTCTAAAACTCCAATCACAAAGGGAAGGCACTCATCAGACCGCCTGGGACCCAATTACATGATCTTACCTCAAAGTCATTTCCCCTGTTATAGTGCGTATTGAGAGCTCGAAAAAGTTCTGAGTCGCGGAGAACCATCAGCATCTTGGGATTTGTGACACCATCTGAAATCGCTTGCCGGGCAAATTTCTCCATTTGGATGTAATAAAACTCACGAAAGTTGCTGAACCACTTGATCATCTGGGAGATGATGCAGCGGTTGAACTGTACAAACAAGGGGTCCATCAAGTCAGACATTTTCCGTGAGGTACTCAAACTCAGAACTGTCAGCTTCCAGTTCAACATAGGGGTTAATAAGAATGGCTTCAACCAACATTAAAAAGGACTTCCTTTAAAAAAGAAGCCGTGGCTGTTTTCCAAGCCTATTCACTCATACACAGAAAAATCTGAGCTGGCTCTCATGCCCATTAGAAAATAATTGTTTTTTGATATACTAGATTTATGAAGGTTTTTTACCCACAGAAAGCTTTCCGTGGTGTCTAAGTGTGACTTTGGGAGGGTCCAGGGTCAAGGCCAGTATGGTACCAGCTTCTGCTGCACCCAGGCAGATTGCATGGCAGCCCCGGAGCCTTCTGCCGGGTAAAGGGCCAAGGGAAGGGGTGAGAGTGTAGATCAGAGAGCAGTTTAGTGGCAACTTGGAGTTGCAGAATAAAGCAAAGGCAGAGCTTGGTGCAGGGATCAACCAAGCAACTGAATATGAGGGAAAGACCTGGAAAATGCAAAGGAATGATATAAAGTATTAATAGCCCTAACCCAACACGTAGGGTAAAGGGGGCCCCTAGAAATTTTTTTTATGGGAACAGGCAAGGTCTGGTTCCAACCATGAGAGCTTGGTTTTCCTTATAGTCACTCTTGATCTGTGTGCACCTTCACTCAGTTTTGAAACACAGCAATTTGAATGTAAATTTGACAGTGTCCGACCCTTTATATGTTCTTTATTTTTCATAGTGTCCCCAGCAGAGACAGAACACTAGGCCAAAGACGCCATTTACTAAGGGTTCTCCCTCCCTCCCCATGTGTTTTTGGGTATTTCTACAGCTCAAAAACTTAAAAATTCAGATACCCAACCTTCCTAGCCCAAAGTTATTCATGATTATCCAGGCAGAGTCTCAGCCCAGACTGGAAATTGCACGAGTCCACCAACAACATGAAGGGGAGTACGCGCATGTATGAGGACCTTGGACTTGCCTCACGCCAGGCAAACCGCCTGCCACTTGGGAGTTGTGCAGAGGCGGAACCTCAATTGAATCACTTTACCTGCACGTCAGGGAAATAAGCCTTCAGGAGGTTGGAGCTGGGGTAGCGTGTGAAGAAAAACATTAGCTTGGCCTTCTTCAAGTGACCAGGGTTGAGCCCCTCCTGGATTTATCCCAGCGTCAAGGAAAACCAACACCAGTTTATCAATTTTATCAAATTATCCAGTGAATTGTCCTGTTCCTTATGGTTTCTATTCTATTTTCTTTTTTTCTGGGTGAATGGTGTATTCGCTCCATTTTTCTGTCTCTAGCAAGTCTGAGCAGATGAGCTTTTTCTTTCTGGATGCTGAATACCATATATGTATAGTAAAGTTGCAAAATTTAAAAACCCTTTAGATGTGTAAAAGTTCTGTGGCATCTAGGATATCAAACACAGTTCATTGTACTTTGTGTGTGTGTGCTGTCCGAATAGGATGGGGAGAGATGGCAGCTCTGTCCCAGATAAACCATGTTTAAACTCCAAGTAGAGCTTTCCTTCCCTCTCTGCCTCAGTTTCCTCATCTGTAAAGAGAGAGGAGTTGCCAAGGTGGTCCCCATTCTGGCTCTCATCATTGCCTTTGCAGTATTTAAGCCAACAATCGTCTACCCAGACTGAGGATCAGATCACAGTTTGCTTTGGCTCAAAAAGCTTGAACTGCTGGGCTGCACCTGCTCCCCATTCGCCCGGCAGAACTTTCCCTCATCTTTCCTGCCTCAGCTGAGATGCTCCCGCCATGAAACCTTTCCTTGCCGAGTTAGGCCTTCCTCACCCTGGGCTACCAAGGCTCTTTTACAAATGTCTGTTGTAGCAATGACTTTATTGAAATTTTTACTGCATGTGTGTTTCCCCATTTAGACTGTGAGCTCCCTGAGGGCAAGGACCTTATCTTTTCATCTTGTATTCCACATGCCTGGCCCAGTGCTAGGTACATAGTAGGTGCTCAATAAATGTACATTGGATGAAGGAATGAGTGAGTGATTAAATGGTCCACCTTAGACACAAATACAAAAATTACATTCCGACCCATCCCTCACTCGGAACAGATTCCTTCGCCTTTTACAAGGGCGGGGAGCTGTGGGGTGACTGCCTAGTACCAGGGAGGGAGGGGAATGCAAGAACACTCAGCATCCCAGGGGCAATCCTCAGGCTGGAGGAGAAGCACTGTACAGAGTAACCTTGGAGCTCAGGGCTGAGAGCTGCAGCTTTAGGACAATTAAGACTCTCAGTGGGACATATCAGTTTAGCCAAAAGAAACCAAACCATCTGATTACAGTTACAGCTGGCCCTGGCACCCAGGCTGCTACCCAGAGGAGCCCAGCCCCTACCTCAGTGGCCCTACTTCTTATCCTTCTTACAGGTTCATAAATGCTGTAGAAAGAATCCTGGGTTTGGGAGTCCAAAGACCCAGTTTTAGATACTGATTTTACCACTTACTATCTGTGTGACCTTGGGCAAGCCACTGACCTTCTCTGGGCCTCATCTCTAAAATGTAGAGTGTAGTGGTTAAAGCTTGTGCTTGGCAGTCAGATTCTGTGTTTAAATCCTGCTCTGCATGTGTCTGTCTCATAACTTTGGGCAAGTTAGTTTGCTTTTCTGGCCCTGCCACTTGGATACCTGATCTAGAACGGGTGCTTGAGGATTGTGAGGTAACATAGGCCCACAACCCCTTATCTGAAACTCTGGGCCAAATGGGGTTCAGATTTCAGAATTTCTGTTATTTTATAACAGTAATATGGTATGTGAGCCATATGTTAGTTAACGCCCGGGGTGGGGCTATGGCAGCAGCCTGTAATTCGATACATTAATATTCCCACAGCAAGAGGGATGACTGTTTGCACTAAGTGGGATAGTCTATAAATAGCCTCCAATCAATGCAGGTTAGCTTTTACCACCAAAAAAGTTCCCATCATCCTTAAGAAAAGAAATCATAGGGATTTTCAGAGCGTTTGAGTTTCAGAATTGTAGCCAAGTGGTGGTGGGCATGTCCGTGTGAACGGCTGGTAGTGGTGCCTGCAGCAGAGAAAGTGCACAGCAAATGCCACCCTCGCTACTCTCCCATCGTCCCACCTGCTCTACCTGTTTCACGGGGATGTTGTGTGAATGTGCAACTTCTTTTGCACTTCAAAGCAGCTTGCTCTTAGGTGGTTTTCATGGCCCACAGAACAAATCTCTAAAGCCCGAATATAGGCAGCAGGAATGAGGGAACAGTTGGGGGGCCAGGATGCTGTCTGGGGACCCCAAATCATTCCGAAGGTTGCCAAGCACCTCACCCATGCAGCCAGGCCCAGCAGATGTGCCCTGAAACCTCCTGAAGCTCTCTGAGCCCAGTCCTCATTTCATGGGCCGGGGCCAGGCACACAATAGGTGCCTGAGAAATATCAGCATGCCCCTCCCAAGGAAAGCACAGCAGAGAATCTCTGGGGACTGAGTTCTTGGGGTTCTTCCACCACTGCCTGACTTGAACAGGGAGTCTTAACCAGGGGCCTTTTATTAAAGGCATGGACAGGTAGCCTTTCTCACACAGGGCAACCGCTTGATTAGAAAATCTGTCTATGTTGATATCTCTATACCTCCAAGAAGACTCCCTAGCACCTGAAGAGGCAATAGTGGCAGGTGAGGTGTTCTTAGCTTTGGTTTTACAGTTGCTCACTGCCTGCAAGGAAAGCGGCCGGCAGGGCCTGAGCTTTTCCAACCTGTGACCAGCAGGGGGCGCTCATAGCATTTAGGACACAAGAGCCGGCCCTGGTGTGGCGGTAAGCTGGTCCCAGCGCGTCCTGCCATCCTCACTACAGCTTGCCAGGCAGCGCGCACAACTATTCACACCTAGATATATGACTCCAGAGACACATTGACCTGTGGAAACTGGATCAAAGACTGCCCGGGAGAAGCAGCTGTGTGAGCTCAGCTCGCTAAAAAAGCAACATCCAAAATATGTTGTCAGGAACTTTAGTCCTACGAGATGCTTGTTGGAAGAGGGTTCTTTGGTCATATGAGTTTGGGGCTGCATACATTCTCCTCTTAGAGCTTCACATTGGATTTCAGCATGTTAAGGTCTCTGAGAAGTCCCACAGTAAAGAAACTAACCCAGTATTTACCCAAACTGCTTTTTTCCCCCTAATTCAACAACTATTAATATCCTGAGGGAGGGTGACACTGGGAAACACTATTTAAGAGAGTGGGGTCTGCCTAAGAGTTGCAAAGATGATGCGATAAGATCCAGACCCCTGCAGACCAGCCTGGGCCCCTCAGCTTTCCCCACGAGGGCCTCCTTTCCCTCCATGGCCCAACCCCTAGGCTCTAGTCCTCTCAGCTGCAGCTTAGAAGCTGTTCCTTAAACTAACAGCTTCTTATCCCTTCCAGCTGCCGCTCAGATCTAGTCCCTGAGGAAAACTTCCCCTTTCCCATCTGCCCCCGGAGTTTCTGGTCCCTCCTATCTTCCCCATGAATTACCTAGACAGTGTAGGCTTTTTCCCCGGGGAGCCAAGAGGTTGGAGGAGCCGTGCTTCAAATGAGCTCACTCCTCTGACCCTCTCTGCCAATGTGTGTGGGCAGCCGACAACCAAATGATGGGGTTTCTCCTTCCAGAGGGTGTTTATGGTGTTTGGGAAGCCCATTTGAGTTTAAAAACAAACAAATAAAACTCTTTCAGACCCAAAGGAATAAGTCAGTAGCGGTAGAATCTGTGTTACATAAGAAGGTAAAGAAACCTTCCTAGCATCCTTAAATCCCAGAGTGTGGTCACCACCTCTTCAGGAACCTAATAACTGGGAGCCACAGGGAAGGAAGGCCTAGAAGCAACATTAAGACCATCGGGAAAGCAAAGCTATTCCCTATGCCATGTAGTTGTTTGTCCCCACCTCCCCTCAGCTTCCAGGTCTCCTGTTTCTCTGGGTGGTGACAATGAGAACTTCAATTACTAGTAAAGGATATGTGGACAGAAGGAAAAGGAAGTGCATCCGTGACAGCCTGCAGGCCACCCTGCTCCATCTTTACCGAGGGAAGAAGGGGCAGTCTTTCCACACGGGTGGAAGTGAAGGGCAGCGGGTACTGCTGCTGGCTCAAAACCGACGGTCGCAGTTTCACAGCGCCCCAAGGTTGCAGGGCAGACTCTGAGGAGGGGTGACTTTGGGAAGATGAGTCCTGGGGAAGACAGCTGCTCCAGTGACCGTTGGGTCCATGACCCAGAAGCTGGCTAAGAATCTGATTTTCCTGGATGTGGGAAGGCACAGTCAAGGGACAGTTTGCTGGAGGACCCTGATAGGGTTTGGGGATCATTCTTGGAGAGACAGGGTACCTAGGAGAATCTAGAGGCTTGACCAGTGATAAGTTTCCCAATGGGACCCCAGCCTGTGGCTGAGCCCTCCTGGGCAAGGCAGCCAGAGGAAGTGGATCTTTACAGGCACCTCCGTCAGGAGGTGAGGGCTCACTTTTACTCTCTGGCACCAGCCCCTGGAAGCTTCTGCCCAGCTGAGTTAGGTGGCCTGATGGATCCAATAGCACCTTTTGTAATACTGAGTCCACAGCCTGAGACACTGCCCCTGTCAATTCTTTCCTCAGACTCTCCAGCAAAGCCCGTGCTGCAGAACGAAGGAACCTGGGTTCCTCAGACTGGTATTCGACCTCAGACACTCTGTGTTTTTCCACCCCGGAGAGGTCCCCACTGGAAACCTGGTGGTGGTCACTGTCCATAGCCCAGGGCCTAGACCCGCAGCCATTTTTCTGCTTTACACTCAGAGGGCCCCTCCCCTTCTCAGAGCCTCCTGGGCCCTGAGCGGTGTCCTGGGGCTCGGCAGCCTGTAGAATGTGCTCCTGCAGATGTCTCAGCTGTTGCTTCAGCAGATGAAGCTGTTCTCTCACCCGAGGGCCCCCCTTCCTGCTACCGTGGCCCCTGGCTGGGCTAGACTTCAGAGGGCCTTGCTGCACGGGAAGGCTCTGCTTCCTCTTCCGCTCCTGGGCCCTCCCTGGGCAGCACAAGCTGTCCCTGGCTCGAACATTGCCCGGCACCAGAGGGTCAGGGGAGAGGCACATGCCTCGGACGATGGTCTCCACTCTGGCCCTCTTTGCTTGGATGTGCTCATCCCAAAACCAGTCAGGGTCAGCGAGGCTGGAGTCGGGGACCAGGCTCCAGGGAAAGGGGGAGTCGCTGCCCTGCTCTTGCGGGGATGGGCTTCTCTCCCCTTCCATACAGATTTCTGCCAGATGGGAGCAGGCCCGGGACAGAGGGGAAAGCAAGCCGGAGTGTGGGTCCATCCCCCGGCTCCACAGTCACTTGTTCAGAGCCTGTGGGGTTACTTGGGGCTCAGTGAGGGAATGCCTCCTCCGAATGTCGTAGCTGGAGGGGCACCCAGAGTGGGCCGGGTCAAGGATCAAGTGGTCTCTGTGTTGCCAAGACTTATGAACCTCAGGGCAGACTCTGAAATTAGAGACAGAAAGAAAACAGTGCCTGTGACTTTGAGCAATGCTTTTCAAACTTGAATGTGCAAACATCACCTAGGCTCTTAGTAAAATGCAGACTCTGATCAGCAGGTCTGGAGTGGGGCAGAGAGTCTGCATTTCTAACCAGCTCCAGGTGCTACTGTGCTGCTGTCTGGACCACACTTCGAGGGAATTCCCAAGAGCAATCCTCCTCCTGCCAGGGCATAACAATAAAATAATAATGATAATAAAAATCATAATGGCAGCTAACTGCCTAACTGGCATTATGTCAAGAACTTTACATCCATTACTTAATTTAATTCTCATAACAGCTCCGTGAGAATGTTGTCATTCCTATTTCACAGATAAGAAAACAGGCTCAGAGAAGTTAAATTACTTCCCTAAGGTCATACAGCTAATAAGTGGCAGGCTGGAGTCAAAACAAGATTTGTCTGATTTGGAGTAACTTTCTTAGTGACTACCTGCAACAGAATCACTGGGGGAATGTGTTAAAAGTAGCAAATTCAGTAGACCCCACTGGTCCTGCTGAAGCAGAATCCCCTGGTGCTGGGGCAGGGGACCTGCACTTGAAACAAGCAAACCAAAGTCTGAGAACCAGCTGTTTGACCGCTACTCTGTCCTGCTCCTGGAAGAATCCGATTATGCATTCATCGTTCAACATTCAACAACTATTTATTAAGCACCTACTGTATACATCAGGCCTTCTGGGCACTTGGGGAGACAGTGGTGAACAAGATCGCAGAGTCCTGCTCTCCTGGAGCTGGCTGTCTACAGGGGAAGAGAGAATAAACAAGTACATTTTCAGGTCATGATACGGGCTATGAAGAGAAAGCACAAGAAGGGGTTGGAAATTGGGATGAGGGTGTGGGGAGAAGGAGGGAGCTATTTTAGGAAAGGCTGCCGAAAGCTGTTTTATTCCCACAAAGTATCAAAATACATTGCGCCTTACCCAGGAGGCTTCTGAGAGCAGGTATAAGGCACTTCAAGTTGACGAAACATTCGTCCGTGTTACCTCATTGCAACTCACTCCAACCTTGAGAGTCAGTGTGATTCTCCCATTTTACAGACGAGGAAACCGAGGCTCAGTGAGGCCAAGAGTGGCTCTCAGCTACTAAGATTCCAACTCTTTTGATGCAACCACAACCCGGCTGCCTCCCTGAAGATGAAAAGACCTGCAGGAGAGACCAACTTCTCTGTCTGTTAAGCCAATTCATCCTTTCCTAGAAGAGTCAATGAATTTTTTTTCCTTGACAAATTTCCACTCTCCTTTGCTTCTCTTGTGGCAAATGCTGGCAGGAGAAAGTTTGCTTTCCTCCCCCACTTTCATCCTAAAGCCTACTTGGAATTCTCTACCTGGGGCAGGTCTCAAATCTTCTGCAGCTGGTGGTTCTAGTCTGTAGACATGGCCACAGCCTCCACCTGGAGCTGCCGGGTGACTAGCAGAGACCCCCAACATAAGCTCCTGGTGAGCAAAGTCACTCTAAGCACCAGGGCAGAGGGTGGGAGGCAGTGACAGCTGCAGTGCCATCATGGGGAAAATGCCACTAAAAGAAGGCTAGGTTCTCGGGTTCTCCAGGTTCTCAAAGAAGGTTCTTGCTTTGAGTCAGTAAGACATTTGTAAATTACTAAAATAAAAATACAGGGGCCCGCCCGTTGGCGTAGCAGTTGGGTGTGCAAGATCTGCTTCAGCAGCCCTGGGGTTCGCAGGTTCGGATCCCGGGCGCGCACCGACACACCGCTTGTCAAGCCATGCTGTGGCGGTGTCCCATATAAAGTAGAGGAAGATGGGCATGGATGTTAGCCCAGGGCCAGTCTTCCTCAGCAGAAAGAGGAGGATTGGCAACAAGTGTTAGCTCAGGGCTGATCTTCCTCACACACACAGGTGCAAAAATAGATGACTTGCCAAATGAATATAAATTAAAGAATTTGTTATCACCAAGTTTATACCCACAGTTTGGATGGTTAACCACCTCTTGGAGAGAGAAACATTTAGCTTTCTGTGATCATTTGACAATGAATATATGTTGTTTGTATAATATGAAAAAATTATTTTTAAATCAGATCTTATCTAATAAGTATAATTGGATCATTAAGCATACATTAGCTGCTTTCTAACTAATAATGGTTACTAAAGTGGCAAAACTGATATTTTAACCAAGAGGGACTGTACAATAATAATACAAACTATATATATTTTCAGTTTAATAGCTTCCAAAAAGAAGAGGGGATTGATTATGGTTATTCTAACTGCTTAGTGAACATTTCCTGCTTCGACTCAAAATTTCCAAGCCCAAACTTTACAGCTGTCCCTCTGCTTCACCTTTCATACTGCCTACCTTGCTGTTCAAGCTGGAAACTGGGGAGTCTCATTGACACCTGCCCAACTCCTCATCCTCCACATTGATTTGGCACCATGTCTTGTAAATTTACGGCAAAAACGTCTCTGAACTACATTCCACCATGCCTTTCCCATTATACTTTCCTGATTCAGAGTTTCATAACTTTTCACCTGGACAAGTCCAATACCTCCTGACTGGTCCCCCATCCTTTAGCCTCTCACTCTGATCGTTCTTCTACATTCATTCAACAAACATGGATTGAGTGATGACGACAGACAAAAATCCTCTGCCCATGTGGAGCAAATATTCATGCAAAGGGAGACAGATGTAATAACATACTAAGTAAGTAATGGAAAGCTGTTATATAGGGCCTTGTGGGCCATCGTGAAAATGTTGGCCTTTTCTCTGACATAAATGAGGACCCATTGGAAGGTTATAAGCAATATGACCTGACTTAGTTTTAAAAGGATCATTCTTTACTGAGTGGAGAATAGACTGGGGGTGGGGAGCAAGGGTTCCAATAAAGAGACTACTTAGGAGGCTCTTGCAATAATCTGGATGATAATAACCTAGATGAGATGTCTTGGAGCAGAGTTGTAGCAATGGAAGTGGAAAGTTGTGTCAGATCCTGGATATATGTTGAAGTTGGAGCCAATGGGATTTGCTAACAGATTGGATGTGAGGTGCAAGAGAAAAAAATATCACGGATGATGACTCCAAAGTGTTTGGCCTGAGTGACTGGAAGGATAGAATCGCATGAACTGAGACGGGAGGGCTGCAGAAGGAGCAGGTTTGGGGAGGAATATCGGGAGTTCAGTTTTGGACATGTTAAGTTCGAGGTAATTATTAGACATCCAAATGAAGATGTTGAGAAAGCAGTTGGATAAATAAGTCTGGGTTCAGTGGAGAGGTCTGGGCTAGAAATATAAAATTGAGGGTTGTCAGTATGCAGGTGGATGGGCTCACCAAGGAGTGAATGTAGACAGAGAGGAGAGGGGGGCCAAAGTGAGTCCTGGGACATAGCAACACGAGGAGGCTGGGGTAAGTGGGGAGTCAATCAAGGAAACAGAAGGAGCATCAATGAGTAGGAAGAAATCTAGGTGTGTGAGGTGCTGGGTGCCAAGTGAAGAAAGGGTTTCTAGGAAGGGGGTGAGGTGGAGTCACATAAGGATTGTGAATTGACCATCCGAGTTAGTAATGTAGAATCATTCGGGATATTGATCAGAGCAGTTTTGGTGGATGGAGGGAGAAAAAGCCTGATTGGAGTAGATTTAAGGGAGAGGACAAGAAGAAGAATTGGTGACACTGACTATGACAATTCTTTCAAGGGTTTTTGTAAAGAGAGAAATGGTTCAGTGGCTGGAAGAAGTGGGGTCAAGAGAGGATTTCTCAAGATAGGAGGAGTAACAGCATATTTATAGGCTGATGTCAGTGATACTGTAGCAAGATAAAATTTGTTAACGTGGGCAAGAGGGGGAGAATTTCTGGAGCCAGTCCTTGGGGAGGAAGGAGAAGATGAACTGTAGTGCACACATGGAGGGACTGACTTAGAGAGGAGACCCCTCAGCTCATCCATGGTAGCAGGGGGAAGGCAGTGCGCATGGTCAGGTGCTGGCAGGTGGGAGATGCGGTGATGGGAGTTGGTGGAAGCTCCCTTTTGGTCGTTTCAGTTTTTTCAGCGACATTGTCATTAACATTAATGTTCTAAAATGTGGTCTGCTTATGCCCCTCCATGGAATCAAAGTCTTTGCTAGCTTCCTGTTGAACATACGGTTCAGATGTCTCAGCTCCTCGTCAACATGGTCTTAATCTAACTCTTCTGGAGCCACTGTCCTCAATACTTACCTAGGTGTAAGTATTGCAGTTGGGCTGTCCTGGGCTTTGTGTTCCTGGAGCTTGCCAAACTCCTTCACACCTCCATGTCTTCGCACTTACTGTTTCCTCTGCCTGGAAGGCCCTTCTCCCACTGTTCCACTTGACAAACCCCTACTCCTCTTTCAAAATCCAACTGAAATGTCACCTCCTCTCTGAAGCCATCAATGTCTCTTCCCCTGTAGATAGTGAGCTCCCTCTATGTGTCCCCCTCTTCCCCTGTAGATAGTGAGCTCCCTCTATGTGTCCCCCTCTTCCCCTGTAGATAGTGAGCTCCTTCTATGTGTCCCCAAGTAGTGCCTGACTGCCAATTGTCACCAGATCGATGTACTCAGTTGAATACATTATTCTGTATGCACTTCATTTAGACTGATTTTGTCTCCTCATTAGAGGTACTTTATTTTAGCACCCTCTAGCACCTACATGGAACCAAATTAATACAGAGAGAGGCAGGCAGACAGACAGACAGACAGGTAGGTAGGTAGATAGAAAGGGCATAGAACCACCAAGTTTGCCAAATCTCCCTTGTGGCTTATTTAAGGCATTGTTTCTGAGATTCCAGGTAGTCTGTGTGTTTTAGAAGGCAGAACTACCAGGGAAAGA